TCTTTTTACAAATATAAGTCCAAGTACAATTTTACAATACTTGCAAGAAACTGATTTTTATAGTAAGATATAGATATAAATATATTTTAAATAGCAATTTTATTATTATTATAAATTATACTGTTTACATATTTTTTTTAAATTTTTAAGTCCGTCGGATGGGACGTTAAATGATGCCCCGTGTCGAGGATAATAACCCCCTTGGCACGTAAAAGATCGTTTTTCTGGTTTTCGAAAAAAGAGTAGGCTCACTGGGGGCCGCCAGAGAACCCAAAATATCTTTCAATCCTGAACATAACTTTTCACCGCCGAAATATGGCTGAAATATTGCCGACTCGGCGTTAACAAAATCAATCAATCAATCAATCATCTTTTTCTTTTTTTTAAGGTTCTTATAAAGTGTATGTTTTGTAATTAATTATGGAAATTGAGAGCGACATTAATCGTGATAATAGTTTATTTTCATTAGGGATAAGCAGCCTCTGAGCAAAGAGTTTAACTTAATATAACTTTATACATGTATAACATTACTTATATAATGAGTATCACATCGATTACTTAACATATTTTTCCTTCGCCTATACTGAACTTTCAAGTCTAATAAATTACAATTAAAAAAAATATGAAATTCAATAAAATCAAAAGAAATTACAAAAAAATTAAACGACTAACATATTATGGACTTTGGGCGAATGCGTTTTAGAGTGTACGGACTCCTGACACGCAGTTTTAACCTCTCTACTTACAGGTATAAAAATATTTCCAATAAAATGATGTCTTCCCTTTTCAGATAAAAACAACTTACAAGCAACAAATGAAGTTAACTGAGAATGACAGATACAAAAAATACCTTATAGAGCAGAAAGAACGAATACAGAGAACGTATACAGAGAGAAGATCAAGAAAAATACAAGAACAAAGAGAAAAAGCAAAGGCGAGACAAAAAAAAAATACTGAGAAAAGAAAAAAGAGCAGAAGGCAGTACAGTAAAATTAAAAAATACATCTGTAACAGAGAATGCTAATCCAGTAAGAACCAGAACACAAGTAAAAAGTAAACGAAAACAATGGAGAGAAGCAAAAAGAAAATACAGAGAAAAACAATCTCCATCTCAAAAGGCCTGGTCCAAACGAAAAGACAGAGAACGTAAAAGATTAAAAAAGATGCAGAATTCTTGTAACCTCACCCCAGATTCATCACTGACTTCACTTTCACGTCAAAAGTCCAGTGTCTTTAAAAGCAAACAGTCACTTTATAATGTAACATGTAAAGCCAGAAAAGTGCAACATAGATCACCAAACAAATTTGCGTCTGTTATAAAAAATCTTGTACATCGCAGTTCACCGAGAAAAACAAAGGCAGTGAACCAACTATTAAATTTCTGTCCTGTAGATTAGTTTAAAGGAAACAATGATGAGGATCATCAGAAGCCTATGTCTGAAGATGAAGTACTGTTAAAGAATTGATGACAGAAAATGGAAACAATAACATGAGCCATACTGAGAAAGAAACTATGGAAAGTAAAACAAAGAAGGCAACAGTTGATATTCCTCAGATAAAAAAGAAGACTTGCTGTCCAAGGACTATTATAAATAAATACCGATTATCAGTTCTAACAGTCAACAAAGTAAGGAATTTTTATTTTAAAGAGGACGTTTCAACACCTCTACCACAGAGACGCTATGCAACAAAGCATGGGCCATGCCGCATAATGCTTCGTACCGCTTTTGCACAGTTAACAAAGGAAAATAGGAACAATAGAATAGGTTTCACAAAGTTTACAACTCTAAGACCGAAAAATGTGCGCCTCTTAAAAATGACTCACTGGAATTTCTGTGTGGGCACAGTTTGCCAACACATTTCTTACAAGAAAAAGGCCATGAACAAAGTCACGAAAAAGAAGATTGCCAATACAGATGAACTATTGAATATTGTTCTTTGTTCAAAAAGTGATGGACAAAGGTACCATGCACCAGATTGTATCTTCAAAATCTGTGCGAGTTGTAAAGATGTCAGTATTGAGGAAAAAATGTCTTCTTACTGTGACAGGGGTTTTTGATGTAATAAAAACACCTGCGGGTTCGATCATGTAGTTATTCCAAATTCAATAATCATAAAAGTATTGCAGTCCTGAAAATACAATTCATATTCCATTCACAATACAACAATAGTAATTTCACATTATAACAAATCATAAACATCATTACATTTCATCTGGAGAACTAAAGAGTTATTCCCCTTGATTCAGAGTTTTATAAAATACAATGAAATACATGTATAACTGATATTAAACATGCATATAGACAATTGTTTATTTATATTGAATTATAATGAATAGATTATTAAATTTCATATTTACAATTCTCAGAATAAAATAGTAAACCTCGATTGTATTTCAAAATATATAAATTTGTTCCTATTTGTGGAATAGAGCTGACTCCTTCTTTTGATGTCAAACAAAGTATTAATAAACTAGAGCAAAGCTCGTTGCAAAGCAACGAGTAGGTCTTCCGTCGAGACTGCGTGATACAAGCCTCCTGAAAGACCTTGGGTTATGGTCAAACACAGCCTCAATTTACTAGTGTCAAGTATGAATTCCTTAAGTTTTCTAATTGCAAGATATGGGCTTGATAGTTGTATCTGTTACCAAATCAATACTTGACAAATGTGACCTTTGGTTACGGTCATGACTCTTCTCTTGTAAGTAGTTATTTTTGTGTGTTGAATTTACTTCAAGTTTCTTACTGTTTGAAAGTTATGGACTTTTAAACAGGTCGAGACTACTAAATTTTTTGACGTCAGCATAATTTGCACGTAAATTAGCTATTTGTTTACTTTACCGACTGTTGCATGAGTCGCGAGGTATTATGAGCTACTGCAAGTATCAATACGAACTCGGTTGTAGTGAATATAATGGGCAACTTGAATTGCACGGTATTTATAGCAACTATTAATCATCTAAAACAACTCAGATATTAAATGTGAGCATGGAATTGTGTCTTCGGAATATAATCTTTCAAATTCAGCCTTATAATGTGAAAAAGAAGCTTTATGGTTTTTTCGATGACCAAGTAAATATTGTGCAGTAAATCGACGAAAACCACGTCGCTTTTGAATCATAAACACAAGGTGGACCGTCATGCTTTGCGACTCATTCAATTGATTGGAGAATGGATTTGACAAAAACATTGCTACGTGTTGAAAAGTGCTTTCTATTAAAGGTAGTACCTGACCTGTTATAGGATTTGTACCTTTTACTTTTATGGGAATGAAGAACAAAATCATAATGAATTCTGTATATGAGAAGGCAATTTATTGTTTATCTCATTCATAACATTCAGCATGAGAATGGTATGAAGAAACATAAAGATATATAATGCAACACATGTATAACTATCAAACTATCATAGAAGTTCAGACTTAGAGATATTTGTACATAGCATCATTTCAAGCCACTCCAAGGTTTTCCTTTGGTGAGCATTTAACTTTTAATTTAAAAACTGTGTTATTGATTTGCAAGATATGATGAAAATGGTACCATTTTGAAGTACAGAATGATACTCATGGAAAAATCTGACAGAAGTAAATGAAAATGATCTATTTTTGGAGTATTACTCTTGTGTTTTCATCCTGAAGTGGGTTGTCAATTATCTTGTTCAATATTAACACTAAAGAAATGGAAAAACTTGGAATGGTCTTATCGTATGAATATTGCAGATTCATAACAAATTGCAGTCTTACTTTTAGATGATAAACAAGTAAGTTAGTTTCAGAGATACATCTCTTTTTAAGTTCAAACACAAACATTGAGGTACTATTATTTCCTAAGCATCTAAAGATCTACTGTAATATATTATGTCAATAATTCAACCATTCGTTGATGGAGGATATAAGAAAGCAGCAGTCTATGTACATGGAATGGTGTGATGAAAACATTCAGCACTAATGAAATCATTAACTAAAAAGCTATTCTATTAAAATGTTAAGCTATAGGCCTAAGTGGAATGTATGATAATACCACAATCTAAATGCTATTCTAATAAAAAGTGAGACTTAAAGTGGATTGACTTTGTGAATGTGGATGAAATGGAAAAATACATATGCGCTGACTTCATAACTTGATTATCAGATGAACAGTAACAGTTTGTGTTGAATTGTTACTAGTTGGGATATAAACATGAATCTATACAATATTATTTGTTATCATAAAGGACAATCTTTCATAAAATGTTATTTTTATAGCAGAGGGCAAGTAGTTTCAGAGTTGTACACATGAGAGTTTATGGATCAAGGTGACTTTCTGAGTATGGTGTATTTAATGATCTAAAATAAAAAAAAAAAATATGCTTTCTATTTGACAACTATTGATAACCTTAAGTCTCTGATAGACTGTAGCTCTACTGATTTTTACTTCTAACAAAGAATTAGGAATGAGGTATTTGGATTGGACACTTTGCAATAGCAATAAATGGAATTATATTTCTTAGTATATTCAATTTACCAAATTATTATGAAATCAGACAGAAATTGTAGGAGGAGTAGTGCTTTAAAGGCATTTTACAAAAAATTCTCATTTTAGTAACCATGGCATCATCATGAGAAACCAATGCACTGAATTATGTATCTCGAAGGAATCTATTTGTGTGCATAGTAAGATTAAAATGTGACCAAAGCTGTAGGAGGAGTAATGTTTTCAATAATTGTTTACAGACAGATGGACAGACAGGTAGCAGACAGGCAGTGGACACCTTACTATTGCATAAGCTCTTTAGGTATCTAACCAGTAGAGCTAGAAAGTTCATTTGAAAAAGGTTACATTCAGAGAGTTATCATACATGTTTTAACAGGAAATGTTGCACACTGTTGAGAAGTCCAAGTTGAGTGATACATCTAATATGATCCAGTGATCATTATAAACAATATGTTCCTGAATTGCATAGTTCTAGTTACAGTATCTGCATACAAAATCTACACATCCACATCTTCCTTTCTGTCACTAGTTACAGGATAAGGGCATCAACAACATTTTCAAGCTGGACTTCTTCTCTGAAAAAAAAGGGAAATCATATTGAAATTCTAATTTTGTAATACCAATTAATTTTGTATCAAAACACAGAATATTACCATTTGGAAGACTTTCTAATCAATCATTAATATACATATAAACATTGTGTAGAACTTGATGAGTAATGGTGTATACAATGTGTTAATGGTGCTCATTTATCACATGAGTCGAATGATTTTGTTAGATATGGAGAAATCAAATTTTAAAATGGATCATTTCTAACCACATCAAAATATAAGGCGGGGGGGGGGGGGGGGGGGGTTGAGTATAATGTTTAAAATTTTGAATTTTTATCCTTCAAATTTCGTATAAAATGAAATTTGAGATGAAAAATTTGCACAAGTTGGGAAAACGAATTTAACAACCAATTTGTGTGTGTGTGTGTGTTTCCTTTGTTTTTGTTTTGTTTGTTTTTTAACGACCCTCTCAATAATTTTTCATTGTACTGAGAGGGCACCACTTGCCGGTGAAGATCTACAAATTTTGACCTTTAATTGGCACTCAGGGCCTTTGAGCAGTGAAGGATCTTTTTCCTACAAGCACCTACTGCGACACAGGACCTCGGTTTATACAGTGTCATCTGAAGGGCCAGTCTCCATGTCACACCGTGGGATTTGAAACTGTGACATGTTTTTGTTTTGGATAGATGGAATGGTGTCTAGTATAGATTACATTTTCATTGTGTGTACAATTATTAGATTTGTATAAATGTGATTTTCAGATGGAATTCTATTCTTAGACATTATGCACATAAGAGTTTTTACTGCAAGTCCCTGATTAAACTGTAGCTCTTATGTAATGGAATCATGATGTAGATGGAGAAAGGAAGATGTACCTGACTTAAGACTAAATAGCAATGGCAATATCTATGAAATGGAATCACTATCCATTGTTCACAATTTACTTTTGGCCTGGTAATATTATATTTTTGTATGTTTTAACCATTAACAAAAATCTTATAAGAACAATAACAACATTTGTAATGGACTAAACCAGTGTTATTACAGTGTGTTTGCTGTTTTGGATTAATGTGATAATATTGAGGGGAAATATGAGAATTGTTATATGGTGAATTGCTTTTGAGGGATTTCTCTAATATTTGAAACTTTCTTATGTTGCATGTACATCATTTAGTACAAACTCAGAAAAGGTAATCTGCAAAGGAGAACATTTGAGTTTTTTGACAAAGCTATAAATCTGAGTGAATGATTCTTACATGGATGTTATAACACTCCTCCTTTTCTTTCCCTGGACATGTTTATCTTCTGTGAAGATTTGGCCTGGAAAGATGTCTTGTAGCTGGTCCTTGGTGCAAGTGAGAAGTTCATCGTCAATCAGTATGGACGTGTTGGATCTAGAATATATGTAAGCAGTTAGATTGTAAGTTGTGGATTTCATTTATCTTCTCCAGGAAAGTTACTATATGCAAGCAATATGTCTTCTGAACCTTATGGTCTACTGTTACACTTCATTATAATCTTTTTCTATCTGCATTCAATCATAGAATGTAACTTGCAGAAGGGGGGGGGGGGAGGGCTTGAACAAACTTTAAACTTTTAACTGAAGATCTTTGTACATTAAGATGACCGGTCCAGGGTTCGACATTAACGCTTGTCCGCTTGTCCGGTATCAGTGAATAAAAAATACGGACAAGTGAATATTGCTGGGCACTTGTCCGATGGACAAGTGCATTTTTATGTAAAGAAGTCTCTTAATATTTAAAAGAATGACTGTTGAAAGTTTAACGGTACTTTAAGAAACAGCACATAAAAACTGAACTTCGATCCCGATATAGATCGCTATGTAATCGAGTACACTTGATCGGGATCGAAGTTCACTAATTGCATGCAACTGCAAAGGCATGGAACTGACGAAGTTTGGATTCTGTTTTTTTTGTTGACAGCATTTATGTTGTCAAGACAGAAAGTCTAGATAAAATTTTGTTTTATGTGTTTGTTGTATTTATAAATAACATCATGCACATGTAATGGACTTTATTTTTAGTTTTTCGGTTAAGTATTTATCTTTACTGCAATTTTTCGGACAAGTGAAGTTGAAGTTCGGACAAGTAAATGTCTTGGTCACTTGCCCGAATGGACAAGTAGGAAAAAAAGTTAATGTCGAGCCCTGTTGTCAGTGTTTTAAATGGTTTTGAATATTTTAAAGATTTTCTTTTGCCTTTAAAAAACTTTGACCTTTTATCTTCCCCATACTCTATTCCAGGGTTAATCATATGAACAAGTTTAAATATAACCTGCCTGTGAATGCTTCCACTTTAATATGAGCAATGATGTATTGTTCTGAAAAGATTTTTCCTATATATTTCTCTGTATTCTGATGATAAATTTCATCGCCCATTGCAGCCCATCTGTACACCCTAAGGTCATGATTTGAACTATTATTATCAACACAACCTGTGAATGGTTCCTTATTATAATTATGTAAAACCTTGGTTTTGGTGTTCTTCTCATGATTTTTCAAAAGGTTATCCCTATGTATTACTTACGTTTAACTGGCCCATTGTGGCCCCTCACAAATCCCCGGGGGTTATGATTCAACAAACTTTGAATGTATGAAACATGATGAATGCTTTCATATAAATTTGACCAATCATGGATTTGTTGTGTTTGAGGTAAAGATTTTAAGATTTTTCCTATATATTTTCATGTTATTGTTGATCATCCATTGTGGCCTCACCCTGCCTCCGAAGGGATATGATCTGAACACACTGAAATTGACACTGTTTGAGGATGGTTTTATATATGATTTAGCGTAGTTTGATTCTTGCTGAGAAGAAAAATTTCTAAATTCAGGGGAACTTAGAGCTCTGATCAGAGTTTTGTAGTACAAAAGAAGGGATGGCTTTAATGAATTGGAATTTCAAAGCTGGAGTCAATTTGATGTTAAACAGTGTTTTAATTATTAATTAATTGTCCATCATATTTAACAGTACAATTTTCATTTTTAATTACGTAAAGTTGTCCATCACATAATAAGTGAAATAACCAAATACTCAAAGATTGCATTCAAAAGTGTTACAATTTTTGCATCATAAAAATATTTTTCAGAAGGAAAAAATATTAACTACTTACTCATCAAAAGAGGCAGCTTGAATGAAACCTGCAAAGGTGTCCTCAATGTCTACATTCTGTAAGAAATTATTCAATCCGAATTATGTCTATGGAATCATATATTACAGATGATATTTAATTGTCATTTTATATTTTTATTAGCCATTCAGATTTCTGAAGATTACTTTATCATTGAACTGAAAACTGAATTCAAGTAAGAGAAATCGCTGTACAGCATACCTGTACTTCAGTGCCTCCAGAGGAGTTTAGAGATCTCTTGCCCTGATACACATCAACATGGAGGCATGTAATGGCAATGGAAGATCCCTCGTGCACTGGGGTTTCAGCCAGTGCCCCCCACAACTTAATCTCCATGGAAGCATTTCCATCAGTGAGGGTGACGATCTTCCTTTGAGTTTCATTTGTGCGTATTATGCTCGATACCTACAACATTGTTTAAAGGATTAGATATACTTCCTTACAGAATTGATGTCCTGACTACATAGCAAGTTCTAAGCAAATTTCTCTATATAAGGCCATGATAAGAGAAATCCTAAATTCTCATTCAAATTCTTTGAGAAATCCAGACAGGTGGGTGGATTTTATATATTTTCCAATATGCAAATTTTTTGTTGACCTGATCAATCAGTGCAGATTTATCTATAATGCTCAAATAGAAGTCATAGCAGAAGTTTGTTTTGAAAAATAAGTGTATCTCTTAATGCACATCATTAACAAAATGATGATTTCATTGCTTAATACATATTAAAGCAATTATCATCTCTATGATCTTGTCAGAAATATTTGAACCAAGACCAAATTCAAGAAACTTGACCTGTATTTTTTGTTGAAAATTATGTTTGAGTGATTTTTTTTAGATATTGTAGAAAAATTGAAAGTTTATCATTGGAGGTCTGAATTTTTACTACCAGTATTTATCTTTTATTATAATATGAGAGTTTTCAAATATGGAAATGTACCACATACTTAGCAGAAGTTTGTACTCTTAAAATAAGAAATATAAAAAAAAAATCCCTATCACACTTAAGTGATGAATTCAAAATCCAACAGCAAGGCAAGTAATTTTTTTTATGTAACATATTAAAAATAAAATTTACTCTCTTTTCTTAACACTTTGTCACAAGATGTGACATTGTGTAGTTGAGATGTCATACTGCTAAAAAATAGCAATTGTGTGCTTGAAAGCAATATATAAAATTAATTTTCACGGAATTTTTTTTTTTTTGGTAGAGATTGGCAAGTTTTAGGTTTGGTATTACTCTATCTAATGATAGACCGGAAAGTTTTCTTTTTTTTTTTATACTAATTTTGATATTTTTTTTACTCTGTGACAGGATATGACTTTGGTATCCTTTCACACTGTGACAGATTTTCAGTATTTCACTTTTGGAAATCTAATACCTGTAAGACATATTTTTAGTAGATTCCAAACCTTTGTTCCTTCTTTAATTTAAATGATTATCATGGTACAAAATGTACTGATAAATTTTAGATTACAGAAAATTGAGAAAGGGGGATAACTGTTTTTTTTTTGTCTTTTTCTTAACATGAAAAAGATGCAAGTACTGGTCATGTCACTTCCTGTATGAATCAAGCACAATACTAGTATTTTGTGGGCAGCATAATGGAAACATTATCATGAAATTGGTCTATTAATGCATTTTATAAATATGATGTGGGCTCCTAATGTATGAATTTTGTATTGTCAGATGATTTTACTGTATAGTTTCCCTTTATTGAACTAGATGTATTGATATTCCTGATTATGTGACATGGCTTAACTATTAATTTCAAGTGAGAATGGATGCAACTTTTTTAATATTATGTTTGGGGGATGGTTAAATAAACAGAATTTGAAAGCTATTTAAGGAATGTATTTTTTTTAATTTTAATTTTTATTTTTTTTTTTAAATTTTTGTCCAAGGTATTGGTGTGTAAATTGCACAGATTAATGTCATGTAGGCATATTTCATGAAGTGTGCTAGCCTTCAACCTGAATCTATTATGTTTTCTTATATGTTATTTCTTTGTTCTATTAAACCAAGCTCAGTCTTGTGGAAATAGGATGATAAAAATAGAATAGAACTTACACTGGAGACTTCTCCCTTTACAGAAATTCTTTCTTTGTTGTTAAGAGATCCAATTCTACCCAACTCATCAATGACTGGTGGGTTCTGGAAGTTGTCTATGACTACATCCACCAAATTCTCTGGTTTCCTTGTGTGCATAACCTGTAATAACCCAGTATGATATTCGTTAAGGATTGACCTTCTTAATATATAATACAGGTTAATGAACAGGTATTTTAGAGAAATTTTTATTTACAATTATCAGAATTCCTTCTTAAAGTTGTTTCCTATTCAATCGAGAGGCTAAATGAAGGGTCCTTACACTATACTAAGCATGATACAGCAATGTAAAGATTCCATTGAATTACAAACTAAATCAAAATGATAAACTAAGTGTTGAAGCCATGTTGCCCAAAAGCAAGAAACAGGATGATTAAGGATTGACCATTCTTAGTACTCAGTTACAAAGCTTAGCAAATGTATTATGTGCAAAAAATGGGAAATTATCAAATTTTCCCTGGACGATGAGAAATATTGGTAATTGGCAGAAATAATAATTTATTGCCAGGAAATACACTGAAATTAGAAATTGGTATATTATAAATTCACAATGTTTCTTGGGGTATAAATATGTAGTACACCTGATTTGCTAAGATATGTACCTGGTATCACTGCCTGTGATTTATAAATTTTTGATTTCTAAGTAATTCATTTTATATCAAATCATAACTCAGTACTTTTATATTCCATTCAAGCGGGTCTCTGTTTCAAGCTCGAGTTAGATGTAGTCTTAATAATGGTTTATGAAATTATGAACCCAATTTGGTTTTTATGTAACTGAAGATGTAAGGAGATTGTTACATGTAGTCTGTAATGGTGTAAATATTTAACCTAAGTAGGACTGTTTCAGGTCTAAATGAGCTGCTAATTTACTAATTATCTCTCAAAACAGGAGCACAAAACTGTCCAGATGAATTTAAACAGCATGATTGATTGTAATAACTACAGTGTTTAAATGGAAGGATAAAACAAGTTTGTTTTGCTCTTGAATTTATAACAAAAAAAACTTAATAATTCTACAGAAGGAATTTGAATTGGAAAAATTCAGTTTTGTTAAATAAGAATATAGATAAATGTACTAACAGCTATATATTTTTTTTTTTACTGGGTATGGATGGAACAGCAGGTAATATTAAAATTTCATGGAATTAATGAAATGTGTTGCTTATGATCTATTATACAGTTATTGAATGGGTACGAGGGATATGGCAAATTTATGGTTCACTAGGGGTGGAAACTATTTCCCGAGGTGGCAAAGGTGCCGTGGAAAATTGTTTCCTGTTGAGGGGTCAGTGGTTTTTGAATAGAAGTCGAAAATGTGAACAGTTAATTACAGATGGATGCAGGACAATATGTGATTGGAAAAGCTCTTTAAAGCCTATGGTAATTGTGAGCCCTAAGCCAATTTTAAGAAGTAAACATTTGCATGTAATTGCAAAATTGCACCTTATGTATTTATATTTATTATAAATTGAACTTTTTGAATTTTTTTCCTCTCCTGTAATTGATTTTCAATTTCTGAAGATACATTGTCCATTTTGAACAGTAATTTCTAAGGTTCCATCGTTTTAAATGGAATGGTGGTTTATACATATTAACAATTTTAAAGCAGAATGAGTGTTATAATGATTTTAGAAAGGTCAAACTTACTACTGATTGCTGGCCAATTTTAACTGTGCCATCCTGCAATGTAATAACTTTTAGAACAACATAGTTCTGGCTGGCCTTGATGGTGTTAAGGTGTTTCTCGTGTATCACCAGTGTCTTCACTGTCCTGTATGCTGTGTCTGATGACACAATGTAGGTGGTTCCAAACTGCGTCCCATTTCCATATCTCCTGAGCAGGACATTCTCGAGGACATGTATGGTTATTGGTGGGGGGCCCTTAGAAATGAATATAATTATTAATGTGACATTCTTTTATGTTTTATTTTGCAATTAACAGGGCTTGTCATTAACTTTTACAAGTACTAGACCTTTTTACAGTGATGGCGGTTTACAGTCAGGGATATAAGAAATTTTCATCACAAGTTTTAAATTATTTCCTTAAAAGACTGAAATGGGTGTTTAACTCAGACTGTGTTTAACTGCTATTTTGTCTTCTTCACATACTTTTTACATGACCTGATCACTCATATACTAGACTGGGTCATTCAGACATGCCTTAGTGACAAACCCTGGTTAATCTAATGAGAGGCCCATGGGCCACATTTTTCACCTGAGCACATTGGCTCGGAAAAAGTACCAATCAGTCCAGTATTAAAAGTTTACATGGAGGGGGGGGGGGGGGCTTGAATTTTAAACTTTGCATATTAACTAATGGTCTTGTTGTTCTTAAGTGGATTTTTTTAAGAGTGTTCTCTACATATTGCTTTGTAAATACTTAATCCCCAATTGTGGCCCCTTCATACCTCTAATGGATCATGATTTGAACAAACTTGAATCTACATTACTAGATGATGCTTCCATATAAATATGACTAATCATGGCTAATCATGAAAGGAAGATTTTTTCCTATGTATTCCTATATAAAACTCTGATCCCCCATTGTGACCCCACTCTACCTCCTGGGGTCATAATTTCAACAAATTTGAATCTTAACTTCCTAAGAATGCTTCCATATCAGTATGACTAAACATGTCTGCTGTTCTTCAGAAGAGAATTTTTCAAGTTTTTTCCTATATATTCTAAGACTGATGCATAACTTTGATCCCTGATTATGGTCCCTCTCTACCCTGAGGGGATCATGATTTGAACAAACTTGAGTCTATGCTACCTGAGGATGCTTACATATAAATATGAGTAATTATGTCTTAGCTGTTCTTGAGAAGAAGATTTTTAAAGATATTTTCCAATGCATTCCTGTGTTAACTTTTAATCCCACATAGTGGCCCCAAGAGTCATGATTTAAACAAAGAATCTACAGCACAAGAGCATGCTTTCATATCAATATGGCAGAACAGGGCTTTGTTGTGCTTGAGAAAAAGATTTTTTTTTGTATGAATTCCTGTGTATAACTTTAATCCCCCATTATGACCTCACCCTAACCCCGGGGTTCACGATTTAAAGGAACTTGAATGTACACTATGTAATAAAGGTTTTCTAAGTTTCAACTTTTTGGCCTAGTGGTTCTCGAGAGAAAGATTTTTTCACTATTCTTAACTACTCCTCTTGAATGAGGACATGGCCCTTCATTTGAACTAACTTGAATCCCCTTCACCCATGAATGCTTTGAGGCAGGTTTGGTTGGAATTGACCCAGTGGTTCTGGATAAGAAGTCAAAGTGAAAAGTTTAAAGACAGATGGGCAGACAGATTGAACTGCAAACAGAACATGATCAGATTCAGAAAAGTTCACTTGAGCTTTCAGCTCAGGTGTGCTAAAAATTTAATTTTGTCTGATAGTTGGAAGACAGAATGTGTTTGGTATTTCTAGTTCTCTTTAAATGGGCTATGGATGCGAGTTCTTCAGCTACATGTATCTGTATTTCTTTAGACTGCAGTTAAGGATCGAATGGAAATACTGAAAGGTCTCTCACACCACTTCTCGGAACCTGGGCGGGGCTGTAAAGATTGGGGAGGAAATAGGCAAACTGTTGGGGTCTTTGGTTATAAAAACGGTACCATTTTCCTATTGGAATGTCTTCATTCTTGAATTTGTCACTCCCCCAAACATTAAAGATATGACATAACCATGGAAAGAGAACTTGCTTGATCAAAAGGGATTTTAAAATAGAATCAACTTTCATTAAGTTTTGTTTAAACATATTTTTTAGTCTGTGTTTTACCTGTTCCAATTTTAATTGCATGTCTGTGAATGCTTGATTGAAACTTCTTTTACAAGGCACCAGTTCCTATTACTATTTGGCGAGTATGAAGAATTTCCTAATGTATACTTGTTAGCAGTTTCTTTTTGTACATTTTGGTTGATATGACAAGAAATATGAATGTGAGACATATTTCTATGAATAATGAATATGAAGAACAATAATGCTGCCAACTTGTAACCAGTGGGCAAGCAACACTGTTCTGCATGCAGAAGGGAAATTGGACAAGTTTTTGAGTGTCAGACACCTCATCCTATGAACATTAAGGCCCATGGACATCTTAGCACATGATTTGAAAATACTAGTATTTTTATTGGTTTCAATTCTAAATTGATGAATTCTAATTCTCTCTCAACTTCTGAATGAGAAAGAAAGATATGGCTTTTGTATTTCACATGTACATGATTTATAAGAATACCTTTTCAATCATGCTATGATTTTTAACCTTACAATTTTTACCTATAATTTTGACCCACTTTACAAATATTTGAACAAGCCTTAACCTTTAGGTCATAAATTTTGAATGATGGTAGAAGATAGGGCTTACATATTTTTCTTGAAATTATATGTGACCTGATCTCTCCAAAATTATAGGATATGATTTCTGGCTCCATGACTTTGAACTTCATCTTGAAACATGATTTTCTTCTCAAAAATTTTGATATTGGTTATAACTTTCGAGTGAAAAATTGATCAAGTTTTTTTTTTATTTTGACATATGCATTACGTTAGGGTTAATGTATGAATAGCACTCCATTCTTAAAAAGTGATGGAGCCGATGCCCAGAAGGGGCTGAGGTCCACAATGTCTTTATGGAATGGAGTGCTTTGAGTATATTAACCTACATAAAATCTATCATTTGAAATTCTTGTAATAATTTTTTGTTAATATATGATGAAGAATGTAAGATTTTTAATATATTTTTAACATATTAATATTTTAATTTATATATACATCTATCGAGAGAATAAGGCTAAGAAAGTGTACAGAATTTATTTAATTAAATCTGTTGACTCATCAGCTGAAAGTAGCATGGTACGAAGGTCTTGGAATCTGCTCGATTCTCAGCTGTACTACATTAATTTTCTTTATATGAAAAACAAACTTATTAAAAATTTTTAAGTTCTTTCCTCTGTTAAGTGTTATTTTATAGCTTGGTAGAGGGACATTTGCAAAAAAAAGAAAGAAAGAAAAAACAAAAAAAAAACCAGGGCATTAAGTCTACTCATTTTTTATCTTAAAGGGTTTTCGAATTATCAATACTTTATCTGAAGTTTGTAGTAAAATTTCATTTCAAAGAATTTTCAAGATAGTTGACCAGACTTTCACAATTCTTTTTTGGGACTAAGGACGAGACTGTAAAAACTGGGAAAATTAGTGATCTTCTGGGGAACTTTGGTAAAATCATAACTTAGTCATTATCCATTAATTTCATTATGCATTAAGTTTCCAGTGCTTGTTATCAACTAAATGTCTGTTTTTTTAGTATAAAGAGATGTGGATTTTAAGTTTAGTACCTTCAAATCTTACTAAATGTTATTTTAATGTTTGGGGTTGTGACATAACACAATCAGCTGGGAATTTTTTTTTTGGACGAGCCTTAAAGTAACTGCTGAAAACACTGCCACTCAATAATGTAATGAATTATACATTGATTTCAAATTATTTTACATAGGTGAGATTATTGATCTATTTTTCATACTGAACAATATCAAAAAATCAGAGCTCTATATTGTGCAGTGTATAGGGGCTCTGAAGTGGGCTGACCTAACCTTTACTGATGATTTGAACAAATATGCATTGATATTAATATGTCTACAATCATGGTAGACAATTGGCTTTACTGTTCTGGAGATGTTTTCTGAAGATTTATTTCTTATACTATTCCTTGTATACATTTCTTTGTACATGTATAACAATGTGGCCCTACTTCACACCTGAGGATGATGTTAATGTAAATTACCCGAGAATGCTTTGCTGTTTTTGAGGAGATATTTTTTAAAGGTATAGTCTATATATTCTTATATATATGTATAACTCTGGTGCTATGTTAATGTGACCACAATTATGACAGTGGGTCATGATTGGAACAATGGACTTCAATCTACATGTACAAATTTGATTCTACACTATGTGTAGAGGCCGGGTTTCACTCTTTTAAATGGTCTTGTTGCTCTTGAGACCTAAGGCCATTTTTTTTTATTTTCTTTTTTACGGAATTTTTTTTCCAAAAATCTGAATCAAGGGGTTGAAATAAAAATAAAAGCTTGAGTGTAAGCAGTCGGTCAGAAAAATAAAAATAAAATTAAAAAAAATGCAATAAAATTTTTTATTTTTAATTAAGGATGGAATTTTGTTCTATGACCCTAATTTTTTAGGAAAAAAGTGTTATTTGAAAAACTTATGTATACAAAACACAAAACTGGTACTGGGGAACCCTGGTATTTTTTATGTATCAATGAACTATTTTAAATTAACTTTCTCTTAGATTTATAATTGGGACAGGGGTGCATTTTCTAGTATTAACTGTTTGCTGTTTCTAACATTAAAGCAAATCGAGCATACAAATCTGTAGTCTCCTCTCAGTTGTCAAATATCATTGTGTCACCACAGTAAAACTTATAGGATTTATATCATATCACTCTTAAACTTTTCAGAATCTTTTATTTTTAGGCATTCAGCAAATTATACAAGACCTGAGGATTTTGGACTAGCTCTGGCAAAGTAAAAACATGACAAAAATACAGTGAGACATTCAATGGATCAGCTAAAATAAATTAATTCACAGACTGAAGTGCATGTAAGACACAATAAGAAGAAAAGTTGTATATTTCTTTTTTTTTTTTTCAACGCAATTCAAATTAATATATACGTAGGTGGAAAATAAGGACCACAATCTCTCTACTGAAAACATAATAAAACTTCCTCAATCTTAGTACATTTAATCTCTTTTATCTTTATATTTTTGTTTCTGAGCATGTTAAATTTTAACATAATTGTAGAAAATATGTATGTCTTTCTTATAGTATATCCATGTAAAATACACATGACAATATTCTGTTTACTGCAGAATTCAAAAATTTTAATTGTTGAAACTGGTTCTAATCCACAACTTTTGTATGAAAAATAAAAGAAACCAGGTCTTGAATTTAAATAATATTTGTAAGAGCGTACCAATTACAACAATACTTTTCCCTAGTGGTAAAAAAAGTTGTTTTACTAAACAAGAGATAACATACACACTATATCAGCTGTTATTAATAGCTGATGTTCATTAATTTGTTTAGTTAGCACGCAAAATTCCATATAATGATAAAAAAGTAAATAATGTCTTGTATCAATCAAACATATATTTTCGTAGGTAATTTTGAATTCCAATATTTGTCATAAAATGACCAAGTGAAAGTTGTGACTCGAATTTCCACAGTCACGCCACTTTCTACCAGTTCTACAGTGTTCTGTTCAGTCGTTAATTGTAAAAGAAAACATTATTGTTTAAAAAAATCTTCAAGACATATTTCAATGTATTGAAGCAAGTGTCACAAAGTTAATATGAATTCAAACCTTTCTAAACAAGCAGTTGACAGAACCTCGATTCCCACGTGGCCCTCTGCATGACATTTGATCAAGATATATGTAACTGTTTCGTCTATTTCATTAAATCTTTAATTAAAAGTTAAACTGAAAATTATACTTTTTTTTAATATATGACATTGACATGTCACTTTTTAAAATGACTATTTAAAAATATACGAAACCCTCTGATTCTGACATTTCGGCGCTATGCTGTGCTGTGACTATTCCCACTTCGAATACTGTGATTGGATGAATATATTTACTTCAGCCAATGACAAAACGCATTTTGAAAGGCTTGTGAAAACTTCATTTATATATCTTTAATTTTTTTCAGTGACTACGTATAAACTATCGGCGGGAGAATTAAAAATAAAACTTGAATTGGGGACTTTTATTTTCATTTTAGCCCAAATTAGGGTCTGCGCTCCCGTAAAACAGGATATTAAAAAATGTTGGTCTGACATCAGATTCTAATTATCACACCTAATTATGGAGCCCTTTAAGGGATTCTGGCAGACTTACCAGAATGAACTAAAATTATAAATCTCAATAAAATTTTACAATTGTAAACAGAGATATATACATGAACTATGGTGATAAATTGAAAAAAAAATGTTTTATTGCGTGCCTGGGTAATTGTAAATACTAGTACAGTTATAAATATTTGTATTCACTAGTTCACTTTAGTAATATTTCTGATAAATGTGGATGTGCTGTTAAAAATTTATAACATTTCATTAAACTGAGATCTGTTACATGATCCAGTTTTTATTTTCAATATTTGTAAAGCAATTAATTTTGACGTGTACTTATAAATGTGTAGATTCTGATATCAACACAGTGTCATTAACAGTCTTCAGAATAATTAAGAGTTCAAAGACATGTAATAAAATTGTAAAATATACATTCCAATTTAATTTTGTTCGGACATATCAGGTATAGAAAGTAAACCAGTTATCATATTGTGCTGAAAAAAAGTTCTGTAACTCACTCAGATAAATTGAAAATAATAAAAAGAAAAAAGGAAAATATTCTCCGTATCGTATTTAAACAAAGACGTGTATCATGAAAAACAATATGATAAATTCCCAATCAATGCTATTTAAAAGCAGAGATTTTTTACCGGCTGGTAAATTCTAGGTGAGGGAGGGGCTTATTTTGTACAGGTTTGAATGCCTTGAGGGCTAGCAGTCTACCTGTGACCGTTTGTCTCCTAATCCTTATACACAGGAAGTGATTTAATACACGTAGAGTACCCAAGAAATCAAACTTTACTTGTGCTGGGATTTTGAGATGTTTTTAAATTAGAAGTAAAAAATTGTAAATAAAGTTTAATCTCAAATTTTTTTAATTAATTTGTAATTGAATATGTGTCAAAGCATCCTCACCCATTAAAGAAATTATTA